GGGAGTCAGTCCCAAGGCATGGATCCTGTCCTCACCCTCCCTGGTAATCCTCAGGAAACCCAGTCCTGAACAGAGCTGTGCTCTGCTGGCTCTGTCATCACCTTGATGCTGTTTCCTCACAAGCTGCAATCCTGTAGCTGGCCGTAAAATCCAGAATGAGCCACCCAGATGGATCTTTTACCTTTTGAAATACCAAGATTGGCTTCAGTGGGTCCTGGATCAAGCAGCTATTCTTCTACAGGACCACCTATCTCTCCACAAGGACACTGGAGGTGGAGAGAGTGTGGGAAAATGAACCAGCATGTCAGAAATCCAATTTCTCCCTCTGTAGGTAAAGCACCTCAGAGAAAATCAGCTGATAATGGAAAAGACCCCACAGAACACCACCAATGTGACTGCAGCATTTTCTGATAGCCATGCATATTACCTAAAAAATTAAAAAATATATATACTGTTATTGTATTTGGTTCAAGCATTCATCTCAGATAAGTATGGGTTCTGGCTTTAAGGAGAACTGGAGAAAACTGGTTTCCTTTCTTTAACTTTTATTTAGGAGCAGCACAGTTGCTGAAATCTCCTTGTGTTCTTTTTGGTCTGTTTGGTTTTTCCATTGTGGAAATTATTCTTTTAAGGTCAGGAACAGTTCCACTCCAATATTTATCCTTGCTAGCAGTACAGTGCAGGTGCTGGATATTCAGGGTGACTCCTACCCCCACAAGCCTTGTCTCTGACATATAAATTGTGACATGTTTAACTGCAAACATTTGAGAAGTTACCCTACCCAGGAGCTCAGCCTCCAGAGGTAACTGTGCTTGCTGCAGAATCATCAGATTGGAACATCTCTGCTGGTGCTTCTGAGACTCCAGGACAGAGCTTGGGTTTTCCTTTTACAAGGACAACAGTTAAATTTTAAAGCTGAAAACCCAGTGCTGACTGGCAGAGACCAAAATTTTAACTTCCTAGATCCTTTTCTGGATCTTCTGCTTTTGGACATTTCTAAAGAGGCCATAGAGGTCTTGATAGATCTCACACCTCATCTGCTGTGACAATTCCTTTGCTTCTCAGATCAATAACATAAAACCTTGTATTTAAGGTTTTGCAGCAGAGTGGCATTAAGCCTCATTTGTGCTCTCTCAGTTACTGAACTGACAAGTCATTTAATTATTGAATTTAGGAAATAGCAAAATTTATGTGTTACCCCGGACTTACTAAGGATAACATCTAAGCAGCCTAATTCATAGGATGGCATCTGAAACCAGCAGATCAGGAGGAAAAGTTATTAGCCTGGATTCAAGGCTTTAACTGGAATAATGTGTGTTCTCGATCTCCATGGATTGTGTACTCAGAGGGGAGATATCTGGCTAGATGGGATTTTGCACATCTGTCAGCTACATCAGAGATCCAAATGCAAAAGCCAGCATGTAAGGACATTATGTGGATTTGTGTCCCTCTCCTGAGGATCTGGGGTCCATAAACTGATGAATGGATTACAGAGAAACATAGTTATAGTATTTTCATCTGTGACAGATACTGCTGCAGCTCCAGAGTAGCTCCCAATATTTAAAGGGAAACCATACCCATTCTCCACATAGCCCCTGAAAAAAATGCAAAAGGCACTGCTCAGCATGAAGAAATTGGAAAATGTATGCTAAAACTGGTTTAGCATCTGACTTGAAAACTCCAGAACTGGTCAGAACCAGCACAATACGGGAGTGGTTTTCTTCATTCATATGTGCTCTGTATATGAATCCATGTAGAAGAGTGAGGGGTTGTGTACCCTGAACCACACATTAGACATGTGTAAAGAAGCTCACCAGAGGGACTGGAGCTCCTAGTAACCCAGAACTGGATGCCATGTGATAAGAAAACTCCATGATCCTGTTTGGGGACATTTCCTATCAATCCACCCCTCAATACCTCTCAGACTCTGCTTCAAGTATCTTAGCACGAGAACTGCTGAGCTTCACATCCCTTTGAATGCATTTAGGGAAACCCAGGAAACACCAAGAACAGATGAAACTGTATGACTGGAAGTGTTACAGATTAGAACTTCCAAATTCCCATGCCCAAATTCAGCAAAGTTCCCACCTTCACCTAGGGAAAAGCTGTGAAACTGGAATTAAAAGGGAATTCAAAACACCAAACAGCACTAAACCCACAAGTGAACACGTGAAACCATCAATTTCTGTTTGAAAAGAAGCAACTAAAAGCTAAATCTGGTACAAAGAGGTGAGACAACAGAATTCCCCAGTTTATGCAAGCCTGTTCGTGCTCACACAGACAGCACTGGTGATGACATTTCCTCACAAAGGTGACCCAAAAATGTCTCAGTGCTTTGCACACCAGGTCTGCTGTCAGTACTCTGCACTTTGGAGAGTCAACTGAGCAACACATCTCTTGGCTTCTCCAGCATGGTAACCAGTAATAAACCTGCTGAAAAATCCCATTCTCCCCACTGACCACCCTTCTTTTCTTTCCAAAGACTAGGTCTTTTACAGTCACACTGGTCATGTTCTGACATCTGATATGTTGGAATTTGTAGGTATTGATGATTCTGAGATTGTATAAAGTCTCTGTCTTTTTGCCCTGTTGCTAAACAAGAAGCCATAATTTATCTGTGCTGTTTTTAAGGTTGTTTATTCTTGTTTATCTTTAACATGTTTTGCTGTTTTGCTGCAGCTCTGTCCTGCAGGGCAGCGTGTGGGGCTCTGCCCTCAGTGGGATGTTACAAACATTATATATCAAAAACTACCTGTGCTATATTTATAATAATGTGCTAATATTTATCATTTACGTTGAACAGTGTGTTCTTAGCTTAAACCAATAGAAAAATGCCAACACTACAGTGAAACATGGAGGGTATGAAGAAGGAGAAAAAGTACAAGATACACACATTTTTTTTCTATCTTGTTTCCTTTGAACCCTTAATTTAGAAACTTAAAATTTTAATTTTGCACCCATGCCACACTTAATTATTACTCATATCAAACACTCAGAGCTGGTAATTCACCCTGTAAGATTGAAAACTCATTTCCATGGACAGAGATCACAGACAGTGTCTCTGGGGGCTCTGTCCAGGGGGGTTCTTGACCCCTGCCAGGGTCCCAGACCTGCCAGGGCAGCCAGAGGGAAGCTCTGGATTCTGACACTGATACTTTCCTCACTTTAATTTTCCTTTTCAAGCCCAATGGCACACACAGGTTCCTAACAAAGTACAGGCATTACCAGTCCAATAGGAATTTGCAGGAGGTCTCTGAGGGTTTTACTCCCCAGAGTGATAAGCACATCACTGTACAGATACTTCAGACTTGGAAAGTTAGGAAAGCAACATTTGAACTTTATTTATTTAGCCACACAAGGTAAAAGTGTTTACTTGACCCACTGGACTGTTCTGTTCACACCCTTAGTCAGAGGGTTCTTTGTTCCTCTGTTCTCATGAGGGCTACACCATCAGAAGAAGCCCTATTTGTTTCCTTTGAATCTTGTTTGAAAAGGCAGACATTTCAATTTGAAGCCAGGACTGACACTCTTTGCACCATGACAAGACATTATCTGTTGGGTTTTCTCCTGAGTTCACCTGTTTATGTTTAATAAAAATGCTCTTTTGTAACACATGATGGGCTAGAGAATTCCCAAACCATTCAAAATACTTTAAAGTTCTTTTGGGACACAGCCAGATACTTAATATTGTATTACATTTTATAGTTGTCACTTAATCAAGCTATTTAATATTATAGTACATTTTAAAACTGTCACTTAATCACATTTTCTTGACCCTTTTATGTGAATTAAAGATCACTGTAGATAAAAAATGGCATGCTTTAGTTTAAATAGATTCAGTATGTCCAGTTTGACAGTTACTTCTGAGACATTAAAAGAATTTTCTGTGATTAATGTGACCCCCACACGTTAGGTAGTATAATGTTCCATTTCTTCAACCATTAGAGGAAACAGCATTAGACAGAAGGAGCCAAAACTTATCTGACTGTATGTAAAGCTATGAAAACCTAAAGATAATGTACAGCTCTGTCTGGTGTACTGTGAGACCAAGGTAAACCAACTATTTTCTATTTCCTTACATTCAAATGGAAATAAAGTTCAGTAGTAAATCAGTAAGCCTACATTCCACAACAAAATAAAGATCTTACTGCAGCTTGCTCAGAGAAGGAATAAATGCACTTTCTGCCATGACAGGTGAGCAGGGCTGTCTGTGCTTGGTATAAATGATTGATACCCATGCATTCTAGTCTTGGAAGAATTCTTACCTATGCATTTACTTACAAGAGGAAAAAAAAGTACATAAGATATGTCCATCCTCACAACCATTTATTATGGCAATCATCATCATCACTTTATGTGGTTGATCCAGAACTGAGTCATTGAAAGATTCTATGCTTTTAAGTCATACATAGTAAATTACCTTCTCTTATAGGCATGTTTAAAACTATTGTCTTTTACTGTAACCTTGGTCCTAAGATCCTATTTAATGTATTGAATTCTAATTGCTCTTCCTTTGTATCTTAATCTCGAATCAGATGTACCACATTTGTTAACAGCTGTGACTATAAGTGCTGCCCATTTTTAGAACATTCTGTGTGCTATTCTTGATAGTTTAATTAGAATAAATACCCTTTTTAATCCATGAAGTGGGGCATAGTATAATAACATTGATCTTTCATGTGACAGCAAATTTGTTTGATAACAGAACAGGGTTTAGTGTAACCAAATCAGCAACAGTAATTCAATTAAAAATAGTGTGTATACAGTACCTCTGCAAACAATGAACAGTGGGCTAAAATAATCAAGACATGAAAAGAGCCTGCACAGAAATCAGGATGTCGATGGAGAAAAATAATTCAAACTTATTTACAAGAGCTGCCAGTGAGATGCATGTGGGTATAAAAGCGCCTCTCTCTAAAAATGTGGTCACCCTGGGAAAAGAAGTCAATTAACAGTGTCTACCCAACAGAACTGCTCGTTTTTTCCAGAGGGATATTTTCTTAACCTAAATTCTGCAGACAGGACAGCCTTTGCCTTCTCCTGGGAGAAATGAACCAGCCTTTGCATTGGACTCCCAGCAGCTTGGAAGAAGACACCTCCCCCTCCATCCAAGGGCAGACATCATCCCAAGCAGCTCCTTCCCACCAGCCCCAGTGGCAATGGCCCAGGATCTGACAGCAGCAGAGCCTCAGCACTTTGGGCTACAGCTCACCTACACCCTTCTCCTATGACACTGAATAAAGCATCTAAAAACTCAGGTATAAGCAGGAGGAGCAGCAGGAAGCTAGATACACTTTCCCCTCAATCCAAAAGAAATTCTAAACCATCCAGACTAACTGAAGAGCTCAGCCAACCCAAGCTGCTGAGCTTCTGAATTAATACACATCATAGCTGTAGTAGGGATGTCACAGGCATTGAACAGGGCTTGAATGGAAGCACAGCAGTAGAGAGGGCAGGTAGTCTCTACCAGTAGGTAAATGGATATTATCCTTTTCCTTTCATCTATTTTTTCCCTCCCTGTTTATCATCAGTATTCTTGGATCTTCAATTAGATTGTAAGCTCCTTGGGATGCAAACCAGGTCATTATTGTGTCTTCAAAAAGGGATCATCACAAGGGGCCAAAACTGTGTCAATGCTGCTGGGAGCCTTTGGGCAAAATATTACTAAATTGCCCTTCAACTCCAACCCAAAATTATAGGCATGCTGCGTGCAGTATTTTGTAAGCCATTGTTTTGCAACGTGGAAATATGCAAGTGAACATGATACTTGAACAACATAATTCATTTTCCATTCATGAGCCACAATGGGTATCTCATGGCACTGTTTGCTCTTCAGTTTCAAATGTGAACTTGCATACAAAGTCAAGCAAATGAGCTTTCTTTCACGTTGTTTTATTAAGCTCTTGGACTACACTCTAAGCCCTAGAAGAAGAAATTACAGTTGCTGTTGTCTCACAAAAGCGGTGAAATTCCCAAAGAACTAAGGAATTTGGCCCTAGGTTGTGTATGAAAGTGGCTGTAAGTCCTCTGCTGCTTTTCTTATCCTTCCTTGTGCCAGCTCTGCATTTGTGTTCAAAATTAAGTTTCACAGCAGCATTCCATAAAAACCCTCATCTTAACTTTTGGACGATATCCTTAATGACATTATTGGATTGAAAAGTTTAAAGATAGCTTTGTTTTAATTTCTCTTTAGCTTTTCACTCAAATACCCCATGTATGACATTATAATAATTCTTCTGCTGGGTTTATACCTGCAAACTCCTCTCCTATTCTTTTGTTCTTGGGCTAATCTTTCCTTTTATATTAATGAAGCCCTTTGAAGTATCTCTTCAAATCTACAGCTAGATTCCTTTGTGACTCTTTTCCTCCCCCTAAACCTGATAGGGTCTTTTTATCATGAAAATTATTAATACTTCCCCCATTTCTGGCATTGTACTGTCAGCTTTAAAATGTTCTATTATTATTTCTGATCTTAAGCTGCTTTCTCCTGACCCAGGAATATTGGCAAATTACCGACCTATAGCCAAGCTTTTATAGGGAAGGTCTTGCATCAAGTGGTAGCCTTTCAAGTGCTTAACCACCTAGTAATAATCTTTATGACAAATGGTCTCCAGGTTTGCAGTTATGCCTAGAGTGCTAAGAGTGTCCCTTAAAGTGGTCAATGGCTTTTTATAAAACCAAACCCTGAGTATCATGTCAGCTCTTACCCACCTTGCTATTAGCACACCTCGAGACACTGCAGATCACAGGAACACTTTCTGACCAGAGGCCAGCTGATAAAACACAGGGGGCTTTGTTCAATCTGAAGACATCAACTTGCCACTCCGGAACATCATTCATCTGCATCGAGCAACATGCATCATTTTCTTGTAATCAATGCAGAGTCCACTGCTCCTGAGTGTTACTGCAGCTAATCATTAAGACAAATATAATTGTTAAGAGTACTGACACTCCTTTCAGCTGCTCCATGCAAAGCATTGATTTCTACACATACAGTTTGGCATTTTACTGTGAATCAGTCTTTTTTTTTTTTTTTTCTATTTCTCTCTTTCTGTTTCTTTATCACATAGCCCTAAGGGCAATGTAATGGTTTAAAATTATGGGGTTTGCAACAGGAAGTGTTTATGGGTAGCTATTTTCCAGAATTTTGTTTTAGGTCATCTCCTGCAATCAAAACCATTCCCAAAATTTACTGCAAACTAGAAATCAAGAGTACTAGCCATGAAGCAAGATTAAATAAATTGTTCCTTAACAGGTTCTTAGGTTCTTTCCTGGTCACCCAGCTGACTAGAAATTCTACAGGCAAACAAGTTTTCACCTCCCAACCAATTCATTGCTTTTAAAAATTGCCTCATCATAATCAGAGGTTTTGTCATGGCTTTCATCAGAAATACAAATCCAGAAACAAACACAGATGACAAGAACTGTGACAGATGCCTTTGTTTGATGCAGTGATCCTCCCTAGGTGGATAAAGAACCACAGTCAAGAGTGGTGAGTATTTTTTGACAAGCCTTATTTTGTTGAAATGGAAATGTTGAGGGAGGAGGTGGCTGGTGAAACTTGTTCTCTTAATTAGAAAATCTTCAGCTAGTCCACAGACAATGACATCCTTCTGGTTTTCTCTAACCTGGTCTCTCTCAAATTATCAAAAAGATTTTTTTTTTACCAAAAATGGAACAATCAAGCTTATAAAGTGACTTTTTAACATTCAGTTATATTTATCCCCATTTGGTCTGTTTGTGATATTTGCTGTGCTTACTCTAAAAGATGAGACAATTATCACACATGAATGGCAAACATTTGGCAAATGCCCTGTTCAAATAGTCCTGTTCTCTCATATGCCCACCACCACCTTTGGTTTATCCTCAGCATTCCCTAACACAAGTCAAGTCTTTCTGCTCTCAAAGTAACTCCTGATCTCACAAAAGAACAAATTAAAGGGCAGTCTGTAGACCTCTCGAGGCTTACACAAATAAACTCAGGCAGATCCAAGAGTGGAAATCTGTCAGCTCCACCAAAACCAACCTGAGTCAGCTGAAAGCTCCCAAGGGATGATCAAACTTCCAGGTCAGGGTGCTGGTCACTCCATTGCTTCACCCCTGATCACTGAGACACTTCACAGGTGACAGCTCCATTTGCACACTCAATGTTTTTGTGAAAGTTCTGTCTTGAAGCTGGAGGGGGTCTTCACAATGGAAATACATTTGAAAACACACACACACACACAGACACAGACACAAGTGGAATTTTGATGCTCCAAAGATGAAATTGAATCATTAGATGAAAACACCAAAGGACTCCAACACAAACCAACACTTGCTCCTGGCAAAAAACTATTCATTGCTGAACTGGGTATTTGCCTCTAAGCTTGCATACAGTGAATGTTTCCAATGTTGATGAGGGAGGGGAACAAGCTGAATATTAAAAACTGCTGCCTCAAGAATAATATAATGTACAGATTTAATCATAGTAAAAAATGATCTGCAAGTAATTGTAGTCATTACTACATCTGCTCAGAGCTGTGGGTAATCATTATGTATGAGTGAATTAAATCAAATTCCATATCATGGGCCTGATCCTAAAATTTCTTCTGTAAATTCACCTCATATTAATAATCTCCCTGAGTGTAGAGAGTCTATTTGCTTGTATGGATACATTTCTTATATGAGTAATCTTGTGACCCTTCCACATTTTACCTTTAAATTTAATTAAAATTTAACCCCAAAAATTTAGGAAGGTAGACTAAAACACACACAGATTTCCAAAGATGGGAAATGAATTTGTTTCACTCTGTTCTTCTTTCTGTAAAGTCACTAAAGGGGGTAGAGAGAAAAAAGTTTCAGTGTGGAGCCTGAGTAATGGAAAAGACAAAGACTTCCAAGATAAAAAGTTGAGCTCAAATTCCTTTTGTCACTAAATCCAGGCATTAGCATGGTTCTGAAGACACAGGTGTAATTTATTGCACAGAGTGGGAATGTCAAACCCTGACTCATGAAGATAAGAAGAACCTGTTTACAAAAAAAGCTGCTGAAGGGCAGAGCTGGAGCCAAACTCAACCTTGATCAATAGCCAGATGAATTATTAGTAGAAGAAATAAATTACTGGTGTAGTTTCTTCTCTAACACTTATGCCAAATGTTAGAGGCTGCACTTTAGTATATTGTCATGGAAATACATCCGAACCAAAAAGTTTTTACTCCAGTAGTTCTGTGCTGACCTCTGTGTGTGTTTGAAATGAGGAGTAAGAGCTGAGGTCCCAGAGTTACCCATTGTGGAAAGGACAAGTTTGAACCTTCCTAAGAGTGCCAGGCAGGAATCTTGCTCTTTAAAAGATGGAGGAGAGAAATCAAACTAGGTCTGAATTCTTCCTCTCGTGCCTGTGCTGAGGTCACAAGAAAATATGTTATAAACTGAGTTTAGGTGACATTTTCAATAAATGCCTTTCTCATGGTGCATATTCTAGCAAAAATAGTCTGGAGGGCAGCTGGTGCAAGGAGAGACTACAGTGGTTTGCTTCTGGACATCTCCCCATCACTCACAGCTAGACACATACACTCTTACTACTAACATAGGTAATAGAGTACAGTAACACAAAGGATCACTTTTTCTCTCCTGAAACAGAAACGAGCTGGCAAGCATAATCAAACAATGAGAATCATTTTTTCAGAGAGGAGAGAGAGCAACAACAACAAAAAAAATCCGGTGAGAATTATGACAACAATGTAAGAATGCAATCAGTAGAGAAATCCTGATAAATGAGGACCTTACATTTTTAAATGCCTTAAAACCAGTATAAATAAATATAAATTTAAACAGAATTCAATGCACAATTGAATTAGAAGGGGAAAATTCAACCAAAGTACTAAAATTCCACTGTAGAACTTGCAAACAGTTTATCTAGATAAAGCTATAAAATGAATAAAACAGCAGCAAAAAGGATTGAACTTTTTCTGTCAGTAAGAAATCCAAATCATGGATGAGAATATTATGAATGCTGCATAAAGAGCTCTGTAAAATATCCTCCAGTGGAGAGGAACTAATGATAGATGAATGTGCACATGTAATTGAACATGCAGAAAAGAAAACCAACATTCCAAGAAGGAAAGCAGAAAAGCTATCAGGAGTACTGGCTCATGTGAACATCCACAAGAATGAGATGCATGCAAGGAGAAAAGGCAAATTACGGAAAATGCAGCCTGTTCTGTAAAATAAAATACATGTTTGGCTCTCCACATATTCTTCATTAGATTATCAAGGGAGCATGTGTCACACACACAGTCGTGAGGAATGCTGGCAGGAACATTCAACCACATCAAACTTGCCCGGTTTTGGGTTTCATTACCTACGTCAGGCCCCACGTTGTTCCCATGATGGGAAACTTCCCTTTCACATCATGGAGAACAGGATCAGGCCCTTGCCCAGCAAAGGGTTAAAAAATAAAGTGTAGCAAAATGCTTCAAGTGCACCTCAGCCCAACAGCAAGCCACTCCAAAGAACTAATCCCTTTTGCATTCCGTACCATAGGAAATACGATTTTCCTACCTGTGTTTTGTGTTAAGTTGTTGGGCTCAGCTAAATCAAAATTCAAGCAAAGCAAACCCACACAAACTTAAAATCAAATGAAATTTCACACTCCCCCTGCACACTGAAGCAGCCCTACATGAAGGTACTTTTAGCAGACAAAGTCAGTGAACCTTTTAAGAGTAAGCAGAAATAGAACACATTAGTAACAGACAAATTAGAAGTGCATCAAGGTACTGGATGAAAACATTTTTTGAACATAAGCCAAGTACACGGTAGGAACAGGTTAGAAGGTTAAATCCTTTCTAACCACAACTTAAAGAAGACTTCATAGTAAAAATATCCTTTTTTAACTCTTGTCTTCCAAGCACATATCACAACTTTTGTTTCCATTTGTTTTAGTCCCTATTTCAAAAGAAGCATTTGCTGTAACAGCTCATTTTTTCATGCAAAATACTGAATCTAATTGCGGAAATATGTCATTCCCTCCTCTCCGCCACATGGCATGAGTTAATGATGATGAATGAAAGTAATAAAACCCAAATCTTTTTCAAACTAAAGCTCCTGTTAAATTACTGGAAATTATATGCATGCGTCTACAATGAGGACACTGCAGAAGGTCAAAGATCTTGCTTCCTGCATTTGGCCAAACTATTCAACAGGCAGCTTGGCTGAACCTGCACAGACACGTTTTTACTGAGGTCTGGGGGAGCCACCTAAGAAAAGCAGCTTAGTTCAAGGCTGGTGATTTCATTAGGGCATTTCTCCCCATCCCCATGGAACACTAAATTTTGTTCACCAGAGTCTATGACCTGCCTTACATGTCCATGGCAAGCTATTTTTGGATGTTCATGACGAGGGTTTGGAAGAGTAATATATCACCTAATGTGACATACATTTTTAATGGAGGTCCCAATTTCCCTAATACAAAACTTTATTCTGTGGCATTGACATGAAGCAGAAGGAGTACAGCAAATTTAGAGCCATATGCTGTCCCTCTCACTCAGTCTGCATCACACCCAATTTCTCCAGTTGGTCCACTAAGACAGGTAAACCATTCAGAGATTAAGGTCTGTCATGGTTTAACCTGCCAGCAACTGAGTCCCAAAGCAGCTGTTTGCACACTCCCTCCATCAGTGGGAAGGGGAGAATTAGGGAAAGGAAAATAAAAGGAAAATTCATGCATTGAGATAAGAACAGTTTAATATTAAAACAAAGTTTTTAAAAATACCAATCCTAGTTCTACCACTAATAATAATAATGATGATGATATAATTATGAAAAAGAAAAAAAAAGGAGAGAGAGAGGGAAAAAAAAACAAGACAGACAAGTGATGCACAGCACAATGTCTCACCACCCACTGACCAAAACCCAGGCAGTGGTCAGCCCCTCTCAGGCAGTTTCCCCAGTTGGTGTATTGGGCATGATGCTCTGTGGTAAGGAATATCCCTCTGGCCAGTTCTGGTCAGCTCTCCTGCCCGTGCTCCCTCACTTGTGCTGCTTCTCAAGTGCTGAGCAGGAGACACTGAGAAGTCCTTGACTTAGGGCAAGCAGTGCTCAGCAACAACCAAAACATCAGTGCATTAATGGTGTTCTCATGCCAAACCCAAAACACAGCTGTGTACCTGCTGCTAAGAGGAAAATTACCTGTATCCCAGCTGAAAACAGGACAAGGTCCTACTCAATAAAAACACAACAGGCAAAACATATTCCTTTCCTGTCTGCACACTCAGTAATTCTGCACGCTGCAAACTGCATCAGCCTATTGCTGTTCTCCCCATTCATTTGTTTCCTAATTTTTGCTTAACTGGCCATCAGTTCTGTGGCCCCTTCTTTTCCTCTGGGCATTCAGACACTATGTTCTCCTTTCTTTTCCCCCAGCTCACCCACAGCTCACTTTGGAGTTTTTTTGTCTCCCTTCCTTTCATCATCAATTCATTGAGGTTTCATTGTTTTTGTCTTCCCACTATGCTGATCTCCCACTCCCTGTGCTTCTCCCTTATGGTCCATTTCACAGATGGACCACAAAAGACATGGAAAAACCCATAAGGAGAGGAATTCCTAATAACCTCTCTTAATGTATTTCCTTCCCACAGATGAGTTTGAATGCTTTGAATCTTGGACGGGTGTAAATCAAGGTGTTGCTTTGCACAAGTCAGCAGGGGTTATTTTTGCAATAAAAAAGTATTTGTAGGAGCAGGTTTATCAGCAGCAAAGCAAGACTTACCATCCTTTCAAGTTTAATTTTTTTAGCCATGGTAAATAGTTTGCAGAATTGAAACACATAGAATTAGAAACATGGGTTTTCAGAAACAAAAGAGCTAAATTCTGCCACTTATGTTCACAATGAGGGGTAACTTACTCTCTAAGCAGTACTCATTTGGAGTACTCATTTGGAGGGCTCCTTGGAGCCATCAAGAAATCAAGTGGAATTCAAGCCTCTAGTCTACTCCTTGCTCATTATTTTGTCTTTCACTGTATAGGCAAGAAAGAGATGTTATTAGCAGGTAAATAACATAAGGGTACAAGTTCCACATTTTCCATAAGACTCATGTAAATATGTGAGCAAACAGCTAAAAACATTCCATTTGTTTCAGCTCTAGTCAGAGCACACTTGGTTTTCAGAAACTGTCTCTGGGATGGTTACCCAGATCTGCCATGTCCACACTATTGGGAATAGCTAATTAAACACCGGGGAGGAAGTCACTTAATTTTGATCTTGGTCACGCACAAAAGGAGGAGGAAATCTCTTAGACCCACTCGAGGTGGCATTTCACAAACAATTTTTGAAGGCCATGGACAACCAGAAGTTTCAACAATCTCCATCATCTTTGAAAAAGAATATATCTAAGAGATGAAAGAAAACTAACTACAAAACAGTCTGCAAGCACAATCCTGATCTAAATTTTTGAAGGCTAGTTTTTTTTGGTTCAGCAGTTTTGCATGCATCTTATAAATATCATACAGAATATATTGTTGTTTTCTGGCATCCTGTGTCCAAAACCAAAGCCATGTGTTGGAGTGGGATTAATCCATTTATAAGGTTGCATGTGCAGTTTAAAAGAAGCATAAGCATTATCTCATTGTAGGCTGAGATAAATACCCTCATCCTACTGCTAGAGGCACCACTTCTGAACACAGGCCTTCAAGGGGCAGAACGACACCAACTGCAAAAGTAGGTTTCATAACCAAAGCTGGGCCATGTGAGCTTTTACACTTTAGCTCGATATTTATAAGAACATGTCCTCATTTACTAAGCTTCTGGGAACATTTTCACAATTAAAAACCAAAACAAAACAAATTGAAAATTATTGTCAACATACTGACAACAATTGGCAGCTTTCAGAGCAGCTCACAATGCCATCTCCATGCCTTCAAAATCTCTCCCACAGTGAAACTTCATTACCATCCCATCCAGATGCTCATGTTAAGCTTTGGAAGTTCCCTTCATTCCCATGCCCCCACCTGTGTAAATGAAATCCTAAGAGTTGAATCACAAATCTTGTGCTATATTTAAGAGTCACACCAAGGCAGTTCTTTGGACTTGCTTCAGCCTCATATAATGGATTATTAGCAATGTCATGGCCTGAGTAGATGCAACAATTCCTACTAAGGTGAAAAGCAGATTTGTGGAGACATCATATTTGTGGCCACTGCTGTCAAAAAGGAACTGCAGTGAAATTATACTGTAAGCATTCCTGATGAAGTTGTAACTTACCATCACAAAGCTCCCAGGACCGACTCAGGAGAAGGCCAGCATGCACCACCAAAACACTTTGCAACTTTATCTCACCCACACAGATACTGGTTTTCACCAGTATCACTGCTGAGAATAGGGAGCCCCAAATCACAAAATCATCTCCCCTGGAACTTCTGCAACATGAAGTGGAGAAGCTGCCACAGAACCATGATTCAGCCTTGACAAATTCTACAGGAGTACTAGGATTCAGAAGAGCAGTGCAGGAAAGCTGAGATTTAATCTGAGATGATGGGGAAGCTCAGATCATATTTGAGGTGGTAGAAGAGGCAAGCCTGATGAACCCTAAAGGTAAGCCCAGCAAACACTGCATCTCTCAGAGCAGAGGCTGCTCACACAGGAAAAGTAAAACCAGCACACCTGGAATAGGGCCCTGCATAGACAAAAAAAAAAAATAAATAAATTCCAAAACCACACTATGCAAATTTCACCAAGTTGCACAACATTCACTCTTCGTGCAAACATTTTGCATAGCTGTGATTTCACGGCATCCAATGTGCTTCAGGAAAGGAGGAGGGAGAAATGCATTGGGCAGCAGGCTCACCTCTGGCTTCAGCACAGCATGGAGCTCTGGAGGCTCCAGGAGTGCTGAGTCTCTGTGACCAGCACCCAGAGTCAGGATTTAGGAGGGACAGACATCTCGGAGCAGGACCACAGCGAACCATGTAACAAGTTTATAGATGGCATTAAACAGCTATGACCAGCTTGAGTGATAGAGTGAAGAATGTGAGCACAGGGTGATAAAACACACCCACTAAGCTGAGAAAAATACACATATTCTGGCTTTAGACACAAGGGTTATCAAAGGTAACACATCACTACAATATGACCTGTTATCAGAAACCTAAAGCAGCTGATTGGATTCTGAACTGGGGCTCACAGATTCTCATATGGTCACAGTTTTCTGGATGGGGGGCGGGGAGGTGAGAGGAAAAAAAACCAGCCAAAGTCTCTTTTAGCACAGTGAGTCTAGTACAGTCAAATGGTTTCTTTTTCTCTCCATCCCTGACCCTATTTAAGTGCTATCTTAAATATTCCTAAGAACCCACTGGCCTGTAAAGCAAAAATTCTAAAGAAAACATAATCTTTCAAGGGCTGACATTACCTAGTTCCCAGCACAGCTACAGACTAGTTGCTGTGAAATGCAACAACCTGGTGGGAATTGGAAAGCTCTCTTTTAACTGCCGTTATTATCTATAAAGCCTCTCTAATAGCAATCCCAGAATATAGGTTTAAAGAAAAATCATTTTAATGGAGGTCCCAGTACTACATTTTTATATTGCACCAAGTCAAGCTATTGATTAGCTTTACATTAATTTTAAAAGCACAGAGAATTTGTCATGATTTTTCTCCCTTTGATATCAGCGTCCATCAGCAATTGCATCAGTTTTCTGCTGAGCTGCCAAGCAAAGTTAAATGATGATGCGCTTCCTCTCCCTGACTCCTTATTCCAGCTTGGTTCAGCAATCCTGGCCAGCCACTTCCTGTCTCCCCTATTGCACCGTCTGGCACTTACTTCAGACAAGTCAATATGTTTAAATGATACCTGTACCAGGCACAATTAATCATAAAGCTTTCTGCTTTGTAATGTTTTTTTGAACTTCTGCATGGTGTTCCTAAGCAGAAAGCAAAACAGAAGCTCAGTGGTGAGACCTGTGTCACTGCCCACCGCCTCCTCAGAGTTGGAGCTCCTTGGATTTCGGAGCAAGAGACAAATTCTCAGGAAGTCACTGCTCCCCAGAGGTTCAGAATTACATTGCTGAACTTGAGTAGACTCACAGTACATATGGAGAAAACTCCAATAATCAGAGACATTTTGTATGGGACCAGCCTGGAAGCACAGGGAAGGTTTTTTTCCATGTCAGTCAGAGCTTGGTGCTCCATGTGTAAGAGAACGACCTTAGAGGTGGTGAGCATGGGACCCAGCTCTGAGTCACAGCTCTACCTTTATAGCTGCAGCTCCCCAGGGCACGTAGTAATTTATAGCCATTAGAGGCCAGCAGTAAATTACTCCCCCCAGCCTGGCTCCAAGTCAAGCTCTCCAACCAGCCACTGGAGACTCGGCGGGAGGGAAATGCGGAGAGCGAGAAGTGGTTGGCATCCATCCCTTGTCCATTCCAGCCTTGTCGACTTCTAGAAAAGAAATAAATAGACAACTTACAAGATTCAGCTGGACAGGGTGCTGGGCCACCTAGTCTAGACTGTGCTTTTGCCAAAATTTTGGGCCAGGTGATCTTCAAGGTCCCCTTCCAACCTAGCACTCGATATCCTACGACAAGCACTGTTTTCTCCCGCCCAGGCACTCAGCTCAGAGGTCAGAACTACCCTCCCATGGTACTAAACACTCATCCTGTGAGGAGGGAACCCTCAGCCAGACACTGAGGTATTTCTTTTAGGTGTTTCGGGAACAAAAACTTGTTTTTCAGCAGAAATTAATCTTCCATATAACCCACAACACAGGCGCCTTTAAAACATTTCAAACAAAAAATAAAAGCAACAA